GGGCTTAAAATGACAATTTTTTTTCTAGTTTTTTTACGTCTAAACTAAATGAATAAGTTCTAATAATTACAATACTTACTTTGATTTTTGGTGGCGTAAAAACAGCTTCGGATGTAATTTGCCATGATTCGCCAGAAAATTGTCATATTCTCACTTATGAGGATAAAGAAGGAGATTGGATGATGGTTGGAGATGTTCCTTGGGAGTAAGTAATTTCATCTTCCTTTATAAGCTCTATACAATTATAACTATTTTTTTTTTCCCTTCAATAAGTAGCATCATCTAAATGAACCAAAAAAGGGCGTATTCTAATAAATCATTAAATTTTCCTACATTACATATAAAACGTTAACACTTCTTAAGTCCTAACCAACATACATTTATAATTTTTTAAAGTATTCTAACATTGTTTTTCTAATGACGCTTATGTTACTCATTACACTTAACAAAATCCACGTACATTTTACAATATTATCAAATTAAATTATATGAAGTTAAAGTTCAAAATTAATTCTATTAAATCAAATTTCAGCTTTATTTTACAATGATTGAATATGTATTATAGATTTAATTAATTTGGTGTGTTTTATTGCATGCAGGATGTTTTTGACCACTGTAAAAAGGCTGAAGATTGTCGCATTTGAAAAATGCCAATAGTGATTGCCTCCCTGCATGCTGAGCAGTTGAGGAACAAAACAATTTTGACTAATATATAATCATTAAATCTTTTAGAACCCTAACAATTTTCATTTGCTGATGGTTAACATTTTTTTTTTCTTTTTTTTTTTTTTCGCATCAGTAACGTAATATGGTTGATGTGGTTTACTATGTATATTCTGAATGTTATTTTAAATTCTACTCCCTTCTCGTTTTAAAAATCAAAGCTAAAAAGGCGACTATAACAAATAGAATTTTGACTACCTTGTGCAATCTATTTTAATGCGAATGTACCTCAAGTTATACATCGATTATTGACTAAACAGCTAAACTTGTATACTATTGAATACTGTGAAGATTTCAACTGACTACCATTAATAAGATTCTCGCAATAGGATTAGAGGACCCAAGTATAATACAACTACTTCGACATATGTTACCCTTTCTTTACTACTATCCTCAATTACACAAGTCAATCTTGAGACTAGAAATTCCTAAATATAACTGATTTTTGTATTTTCAAAAGGTTTTATTATCCGTAATGATATCACAAATTCTTAAATGTGGCTGACCACACCGTGTGACCAACTATTATGGGGGTTATTTCGTTAGTGTTATAGGGTTACTTCGTCAGTGTTATAGGGTTACTCGGTCAGTGTTATGGGGTTACACTGTCAGTATTACAGGTCAGGGGTTACTTGGTCAGTGTTATAGGGGTTACTTTGTTTTTTCATAAGTGGTCACACGGTGTAACTAACCACACACAAGACGGACTATAATTATGTATATGTCAAGTTAGTTGGTTCGATTATCCCAATACATTCATGATCGAGACTGTTGTTAATTATTTGGCCAATGTTCTTATATACGTGCATTAGGACGGAGTATATGCCCGGGCCTTATTTCATCGTAAAATAAATTCAACTCAATGAAATTCAAGAGAAGAAAACAAGGCCTGGATAAGAATGAACGAATAGAATTTTACAAGAAAAAGAAAAGGTATTATTTAATTTAATTTTATTATGAAAATTGAAGAATTGGTAGATTTCTTTCAAAGGGTAAATAAAGAAAGTGGATATAAAAAATGAGGGGAAAATAATTGTTAACAAGATGTCACCGAGGAACATGTACCCAGCAGAGTCATATACACGTTTCTTTCCCTATAACTCTTTTATTTGTAGAACTTACATTTTCTACAGGTATCGGTAGGAGTGAAAGTTCGGTTTATGGGTGTGGTTTATAGTCCAAACCGAAACCAAACCACATTAATTCGGTTTTGGGATTTTTCAAACCACAGCGCACCATATTACTATTGAAATTGAACCAAACCACATCCTCTTCCTTTTTGCTCCATCTAACTGGTCATTCACTCCAACATCAGCTCACATTGGTTGACATTCTAGAACATAAAAAAATACATGTTCGTTTTATTATTTTTTGGCTTTATATATGTAGGGGAGAAATTAGTATTGGGCTAGCCTATAATTTGGATATGGGCCATAATTCGGTTTGGATTTCGGTTTTTGGTTTTTCAAATCTTAAAACCAAAACCAAACCATATTAGTTCGGTTTTGGGATTCCTCAAACCGCATCGAACCATATTAGAAAAAAAAAACCCGTACCACATTTCTTATTTGGTTTTATTTGCGATTTGGTTCGATTTTAAACCGCATTAGTTTCACCCCTAGGTATCGACTTTAAAAGAATAAATTAGGATCGCAGAACGTCTTAAATCATTCTCTGTCCTTATCGAATTACTTTGACTATTGTTTTCGAAATTTACGTTTCTCTTAACTCAGTCAAAGTGGGGGCTTATGTATACACCTGATCGTGTCTCACCAAACACCAAACCTATCGATGAATGTCTTTTACGTTTTTACCAACGAGTTCAGCAAGGAATCGAACGGTTGCGCAAATTTTCCTTAAGCCTAGACCATTTCTAACATTACCCAAAATGTCTTTAAACCGAAAAAGATCCATTTTGTGTCCTTAAACCCAAAAAGTATCCCTTTCGCACCCATAACCATAAAAAAAGTCCAACCTGATTATTTTGGTCCATTTTCCCAGTCTGGTTATTATTTAGTTGGATGGGATTTGAAAAGAGCTTTCCAACGATATATTATAAGCTTTAGTTCGACTTAAACCGAATAAGATATAACCAAAATAGTGAACTAAGCCCAAATCAAGTCTAGGTCCACCTCTAGTACAACCCAATGATTATATGGAGTCCAACTATTTTATTTAGGCCCCGTATGATCATATTACTAACCCAAGTCAGCTAGAATCTTCTAGAAGGTTCTAATTTATCCTTCGCGAAAAGATAAAGATCAAGAGTTTGAGATTAAAAAAAACTCTTATGATAATCCTTAATTTTTCAGAAGACGTTCGGATATATTTTGAAGAGACGAACCATCATAAAACAAACTCCGTACAAACTTTGCTATCTTATGAACCATTGCGCAACGACAGGTTCATCGCGCCACGACGCAACAAGGGCCATCGCGACACGTCAAGCCTGTCGTGATGCGACAAAGAGTTTTATCGTAGTTAGAACTTCTGATCTTTTTCGGATCGTTCGACTATCTTTTTTTACTATAAATAGAGGTCGTTTTCCTCGATTCCAGGTCATCAGCAGACAAACAACAAGAATTCCATTGAGAATTCAATAAGCTCGAAATTCCTAAAATTCATGCATTCTCTTAGCCTAAACACATCCTAGATACATCCCAATCATTCACCATACTTCCTTTGCATGATTCAAATACTCCAAATCATACTCGACGTTGTTTTCGACATCGACGTGGAAGGTTGATATTTTTAAGAGCTTGGATCTAAATCGATATTTCTATCTGTAATTTAATTTATTATTTACTTTATTGATTTACTTTCTTGAAGTTTACTAACGTGTGTATTATTTTGTAGCAAGAAAGTCGAGGCATAAAAGTAAGTAGTTTAATTACTTTTTAATAGAAATCATGTTTAGGATAACGTATTGATTTTGTTATTAGTGATGTATAGGATAACGCCTACTGAGCTATCACCGTGTTCCCAGCCTCGCTCACGGGGTGCGCGCTCATCGCTAGAAGAACACTCAGAGGGGCTCACCAACCCGATAGCGTCAGCTCACAGGCTAACCAAGTATGACTCCGTCCATAGGAGATCACACACCTATAAATAAGGAACCAAGTGTATAGGATAGCTCCTGCTGAGCTATCATCGTGCTCCTAGCCTCGCTCACGGGGTGCGCGCTCATCGCTAGAAGAACACTCAGTGGGGCTCACCAACCTGATAGAGCCAGCACATAGGCTGACCAAGTATCACTCCGCCCAAAGGAGATCGCACACCTATAAATAAGGAACCAAGTACAACGGAAAAGAGGTTAGACACATGATTTATTACACACTCTCTCTATCTAAGTACACTTTCTCTCTCTAAACACATTCTAACTTAAGCATCGGAGGGGAGTTCCTCGAGACACCCCTGAGGGCAGTTACGTTTGTTACCGTGTGCAGGTTATCCAGCTGGATCCAGCCTGCTCCAGTTAGAACCCCCCAGATCCATACCCGGAACAATTGGCGCTAGAAGGAGGGGAAAGGATCATCTTAACCTAAAGTTCGCCAACTGAGCAGAGACTAGCTGGGTAACCGCCATGGTCGGAGATCAGAGGAAGCGACGTAAACACCAACCTCAAAAGCAACTGAGAACAATCAGACACCAGAAAAACAACTTCGGTAACCATAGATCCTAAAGGATCCACCAAAAAACCCAAATAAAATGTATCCCAGAAAACCAATCCCATCAGATCAACACCTGGTATGACGAAAGCGGGGGTGAAACCGGTAGATCTAGTGGGATCTTGCTCTTCTTTCAAGTTTGGAATGCTAGTAACAGGCCCAAACAATGAACCCATTACCCAATCACCTTTAGCCTAAAAATCTCAGCCCGTCAATATGCCAGCCATCCTCCAAAACCTTTCCAAATGCAGCAAAGAACAATTGGCGGCAATGACGGCGGTACTCACTTACTTTGGCAAAGGAACAAGCTCAGCATCAGCTGCTGCTACTTTAGAGCTAGTAGTTAGAAAGCTTGCATCCCAAGCCCTCACCCCGGAGTAGAATGAATTGATCCAATTGAGGAAGAAGGTGCTATAGTTGGAGGCTCGGAATCTGAATCAGGAGTGAGGGAAGGATGCAGCAGTCGAGAAAGGCAGCCCGGAGGCACGAGCCACTCGCAGCAGGTCTCTGATCTCAGAGCGAGGGCCATGCTAGGACAGGGGGAAGCGCGCGCGACTCCAGGTGATTCCGGATGATTCCCTATTTTGTAGGGAGATTCTGGAAGAGCCGATGGAGAAAATCGAGATGCCCAGCTGTAAGTACAATGGCACCACGACACCTAAGAATCACGTCTCAGCATTTGAAAACTACATGGTGTTGTACACCATGACAGACTCAGTTTGGTGTAAGGCATTTCCCCTAACCTTAGAAGGACTGGTTGCTGAATGGTGTGGAGCCATTCTGAAGGGATCCGTTTACTCCTACAACCAGTTGAAGAGGATTTTCATGGAACATTTCGTTACGCTGGTAGATTGCACTAGAATGACCACAGAGCTGATGTCATTAGTTCCGGGGAAAGAGGAGCCCATGCGGGATTTCATTACCCGATTCAACAAGGAGGCAACAACAATCCCAGATATGAGCCAGGAGGTAGCCTTGTTGGCCATGCAAAGTGGACTCCTGCCTGGTTCACCCTTCAGAGCTTACATGGGACGAAAAAGTCTTAAGACACTGGCAGAAGCCTTGGAAAAAGCGCACGAGTTCATAAAAGCAGATGAGATTGATAGAGCCATGATGAGTAGAAGAGCAACAAATGACCCAGTCAAGTGGGCTGAAACTGCTGGGGATGAGAATTCAACCAGGATCAACCAAGCAAGGCTGAACAAGGTTGAAGAGACGCGGACAGGTCAATGGGAGTTAGGAGAATGAGGAGTACGATCTGGCCCCGCGGACAGGTCAATGGGAGTTAGGAGAATGAGGAGTACGAGCCGGGAAGTTTGAGCAGTACACTCTGCTCACTCACTCAAGGTTTCACATCTTCAGTGTGAACAAATCTGATGACAAGTGGCAAAGGCCACCCAGAATGGTAAACAGGAACCGCGACCCTAGCAAGTGGTGTGACTTTCACAGGGACCATGGCCATACCACTGACGAATGTACACATCTAAAGGACAAAATAGAAGATTTATCCGACGTGGGTACCTGAACCAGTTTAAGCAACACTGTGGCTATAGTCGACGAAGAAAGGAGGATAAGTCAGGCTACGACCGCAGAAAGAGTCGAAAAGATCAGGGTGAAGGTAGGGACCGAGAGGGCAGAGTATACGTCATCAGCGGTGGACCAGTAAATGGTGGAACAGTGAATAAGGCAAGAGCTGACCTGCGTGCAACGATCCACTAGGTGAACTACAATGATAGGCGTAGGTGACCACCCCTACCACCGTAACCACGAGCAGTGTTTGACGAGTATAACTAGAAGGGCATAATCTACCCTCGCGACGATCCCCTGGTAGCCATAGTCAGAATTGCAAACTGGGAAGTGGACAGAGTATTGATAGATAGTGGCAGTTCAGCCAACATAATCTTCATCAGTGCGTTTAAAGATTTGAAGCTTGACAGAAAGGACCGGAAAAGGGTGAGCTATAAAGTCACCGGGTTCAATGGATCAGGCCTCATACCAGAAGGTATAATGGAGTTGTTAGTCCGAGTAGGGGGAGGGATCCAGACGGCGCGATGTCCGGGCTGAATTCTTGATAATAGACTTACCCTCACCCTATAATGTGATTATGGGAAGACCGCTCATCCACAAGATCGGAGGGGTAGTCTCCAACTAGCATCTAGCCATGACCTACACAGCTAACGATGGAAGATCTGCCAAGCTTAGAGGAAGTAAAAAAACAGCACAACAGTTGCTACATCATAACCCTCAAACAGCCAACAAAGGATAAATCACATTCAGGCTTAGAAGTGAAGCAAGAGCTTCAGGGTGAAGGGAAATCTCGGAAGAGAAAAGAGAAGAATACTATAGGGAAAAAGACAAGCAAAAGCTGGCGATGGAGAACTTCGAGCCTGAAAAAGAAAAAGCAGTTAAACCATTACCCAGCGGTAAGCATTAAGTAATTGAGCTTACAGAGGGAGCAACTCCAGGACAATAAAAATTGGAAAAGACATCGAACCTGAAGTGAGGGTGAACCTTGTGGAGCTGTTGAGAAGAAATAAAAACATGCATTCTCGGTAAGCGAGATGCCCAGAACCGACATAGAGGTCATGGTCCACAGGCTTATAGTGAAAGAAGAAGTCAAGCCGATCAAGCAGAAAAAACGAAGTTTCTCTGCGAAAAAGAATCAAGCCATATAGGAGGAAGTGGATAAGCTACTAAAGGAAAAATTCATCGAGCCATGTGATTACCCTGAGTGGTTAGCCAACGCCGTCATGGTAAAGAAAGAAAACAATCAATGGAGGATGTGCGTTGATTTCACGGATCTCAACAAAGCATGTCTAACAGACCGTTACCCGCTGCCACAAATTGACCAATTAGTAGATGCGATAAAAGGACACGTATTGCTAAGCTTCATGGATGCTTTCTCAGGATACCACCTAATCAGCTTACATAAACCAGATAGGCAGAAAACTGCATTCATCACCGAAGGGGGAGTATACAATTACATCGCCATGCCCTTTGGGTTGAAGAATGTAGAGGCCACGTTCTAGAAAACAATGGATAGGGTGTTCAAACACCAGAAAGGGCGTAATGTGGAAGTGTATGTAGACGACTCGATCGTCAAAAGCATCACGCAGGCAGGAAATATGTTGACCTAGAGAAAACGTTGGCTAAGTATCACATCTAATTGAACCCGAAGAAATGCTTCTTTGGGGTGAGCTCTGGAAAATTCCTCGGTTTCATGGTGAGCGAGAAGGGAATTGATGCCAACCCTGAGAAGGTAGAAGCAGTTCTCATTCTTCTAGAGCCTAAGTGCACTGAGGACATTATGCGTTTAATGGGGAAGATGGCAGTGCTGACCCGCTTCATTAGTAAGTTAGCGGACAAAGCCTTATTGTTTTACCAGCTACTGAAGGGAAATAGATAATACAATGGGGTGAAGCGGAAAAGAAAGCTTTTGTAGGGATTAAGGAGCATTGGACCAAGCTCCCCACAATGATCAGTCTGGAGCAAGGTGAAAAGCTCCAGCTGAATATTTCAGCCTCGACGTACACTATAGGAGCAGTCCTCCTAGTCGAAAGGAGCAAATAGCAGCGACCAGTTTATTTTGTAAGCCACGTGCTAACCGAAGCTGAACAAAGATACCCGCTGGTGGAGAAGTTAGCTCTAGCCGTAGTAAGAACAACAAGGAAGCTCAAACCTTACTTTGATACGCATGTAATTCAAATTCTTACAAACCACCCACTAGAAAAAGCCCTCCAGAAAATGGATGCCTTAGGACGATTGCTGAAATGGGCAATTGATATGTCCATTTTATATAGTGATTTATCCCTGTCCCTTGATCGTATTTAGGAGTATTTTTGGCTCTACGGAGCTATTTTTTTATTACTAATATTATATGCGTTTTCTAGTGCTTTCGTAGTTTTAGTATTGTTTTATAGGAAATTGCAGATTTGAAGCATTTTCCCGGACTTATTTGGACCACTATGAGCATTGAATTAGGATCGCATTCATCTGACCATATTCTATAGCTCAATATCGTGTTGGAGCAATCAAATCGGTGATTAAGGGCTCGACGAAGAAGAAGAGATCGAGGCAATGGACCGAGTCTTAAAGACCCAAGGAGGAAATCCGGACTGGGCCAAGAAAGAGCCCAATCGAAGAAGTCCATGGAGCCAGGATGCTTGCCTGACCGGGGAGTTCCCTCGCTCTTTATTCACTTTAGTTTATTTATTCGCCTTCGGGTAATGATCTTCTTTTTTCGCACCCGGCATCGCTCGCCTCCGGGTGGAAAGATTTCTTTTCTTCCTACCTCGCCCGGGTGGGCGCAATTCAGGGCGAGGGCACTCCCCGGTCGGGCGAGCATCCGGGCTCCATGGACTTCTTTGATTGGGCCCTTTCTTGGCCCAGTCTGAATTTCCTCCTTGGGTCTTTAAGACTCGGTCCATTGCCTTGGTCTCTTCTTCTTCGCCGAGCCCTTAATCACCGATTTGATTGCTCCAATGCGGTCTTGGGCTACGGAATATGGTCATATAAATGCGATCCTAATCCAATGGTCGTAGTGGTCCAAATAAGTGCGGGAAAATGTTCCAAATCTACAATTTCCTATAAAACAATACCAAAACTACGAAAGCACTAGAAAACGCATATTAGTAATAAAAATAGCTCCGTAGAGCCAAAAATACTCCTAAATACGACCAAGGGACGGGGGTAATCACTATATAAAATGGACATATCAAACTCCCCCAAGCCAAACCTTTGCTTGTCCTAAAGCAAAGATGTCATCAATGAACAAATAAAACATACTTCACCCTAAAATCTACTAAAACCAAGTATAATCAATTTAAGGCAAATCCAACAAATATGCATCAAAGTCAACAAATCAATTCCATTTAACTACTAATCCACCCTAACAATCGTCAAACAAAGCGAACCACAAAGCGAACCACAACTGTATCCGATCGCTCTCCATCCAACCCCTTAATTGTGAACAATGCCCTCCCAAACTCATAACACTCGTGTGTTTAAAAAGACAAGCACTTAACTAGTAGTCGACTCGAAATATCAAATCATTCTTTGCATTGATAAACAGTACAACTAATTTCATATCCATACAACTCTATGCACAAAGGTCGGAAGGTCTTCAAAGTTTGTAATGTAAGGATAGGATAAAAGGGGTAAGAAATATTTAGGAAAATGTGAGAGCAAAGCCATGCTTAAGGGAGCCAATTCCTAATAAAATCAAGGTTAAAAATAAATATTGACCAATCATCTCCAACTCAACTTAACTCTACAAAAATTCACCAAACAACCAACCAATATTAACAATATTTTCCAACACTTACAACTTCACTCATATAAATATAATAATGTAGAATTTGAGTGAATCATACAAACTTTGAATTTTTTTTTTTTCAACATTGAAACTTATTTTTGTTCTTTCTTTTGAGCAACCTTCATTTAGAACATTTGAACATTGAAACAATTTTTTTCTTGTGCTTTTTTTTTTCTTCTTTTTATCTCACATTTGAATTTCTTTTTATCTCACATTTGAATTTTTTCAACTTTTGAACACCTTTTCATTTTTTCCAACTCACAAAATAAGAACACAAATAACTTCTAAAATCCACCCAAATTGTGCAAATTATGTGCACACAACAACTCCCTCACTTCACTCACTGTTAACTCCCCTAAGCTAAGCTTGGGATTAGTAACCAATGAGGCTTAAATAGGCTTGTAATGTGGCTAAATAAACAATAACAGGGCACAAGCAACAACGTGGGTAGGAAGAAGGGAACAAATGTATCTAAAATCATCTAGAGGCTACCTAAAAGAACAAATGCCTTCGTCCTCCTCAATGTGCATAATACTGAGTCATACAAACATTACTCAAAATTAAAAATCAATACTCAACTTCATTGACATACCAGGAACTAACACATATTCCTCACCAAATCAACTAGTCAAGCACTATATTCATAAGTAGTTGGGAAAAATTGACGCATTTTAAGATTTCAATCAAACATCAAATCATGATAAACTAATCCAAAATATTTATCATCATAACCAAGAATCAAAACAATTTCAAAAAATTTATGTATATGGCACATGGAAGTATGATTTATCATTCATTAGAACGTATTTTTGTATTTTTTTAATTTTTCAAATTTTTTTTTGTATTTTTTCTTTTTAGCAATAATATCTATACTAGAAAGCAATAAATCCTATACTAAACACACCAAAAATCAAAAAGAGAGAGAAGAAATAAG